CCCTACAAGTCACATTTACAAACTTATGTCAAACTTAATTACAAAATTAAATTATATTGTTTCCACATATTGAAACAAAACTAGGTGAAAAAAGGCAATTAAAGCCCCTAAAAATGTCCTGGAGATACATGTTTACAAACTGTTTATAGAGCATATATCTATATTCAATATTTTTATTCTGTTATGTACATGAACTTTAAATTAGTAAGTAAAAAAAAAAAAAAACTTTGCATGACTAAACAACAGAAGAAATTCTTCCATTTTATTTTGATACAAAAAACTTTATAGATGATGCAAAATAATTAAGCAAGATAAATGGAATGGAGCGTTGTTAACTATACTTACAGTAGAATGGATTTAACGAAGAAGTGTAAAATAACAATGTAGCATTATGATGCACTAGAAGAAAGTTAATACAGCATAAAAATAACTACAGTTCATTAGAATAGAGTTAATGAAGAAAAGTAAAATAACCAAAATGTAGCACCACAAAATATCACAATGTAAGCTGTGTATACCACACAGGACTAGAAGAAAGTTTTAAGTGCAAATTAACTGGAGAAATAATAAAGTGAATGAAGCTATGAAATATAATTAAATAGTAATATCATGGAATAAAAGAGGTATGAAACTGTGTAAACTAACTGCATGATATATAATGGACTAGAATAATGTGAAGAGAGCAGTGCAAGCTAACTTTCATAATACATTGAACTAAAAGAATGTAAATGGAGCAACATGTATTATGAAAGTTAGCTTGCACTGTTTCATTGAAATTATTTTAATCCATTGTGTTATGAGACAGTTTACATTGTTCCATTTGCATTTTTCTAGTTTAGTGTATTATGATAGTTAGCTTACACTGTTCCATTCACATTATTTTAATCCATTGTGTTATGAGACAGTTTACTGAACTAAAAGAATGTAAATGGAACAACGTAAACTGTCTCATAACACAATGGATTAAAATAATGTGAATGGAACAGTGTAAGCTAACTATCATAATACACTAAACTAGAAAAATGCAAATGGCACAGCATAAACTAACTGTCTAATATATTAGGCTAGAAGAATGTGAATTAAGCAGTGTAAACTAACTGTGTGATGATACATTGAAATAGAAGAATGTGAATGAAGCAGTGTAAACTAACTGTGTGATGATACATTGGACCAGAAGAATTTGAATAGAGCAGAGTAAACTGTGTGATGATATATTGGAATAGAAGAATGTGAATGGAGCAATGTTAACTATGTTTTAATACACTGGCTCAGAAGGAGGTGAATGGAACAGTATAAATTAGCAATGTTTAATGAAATGTCATACCAGCAGGAATAGCTTAACAATTTTGTAAACTCCATGTAAGCTTCATGCACAATTAAAGGTGCACTTTCTGAGCTGAGGATTCTATTAAAATGTAGTAGCATGTTTGTAAAGCAATTACACTCAATGTGTTTTTGCAATTATAATAAATTATGGATATATCTATGTGAAAATAGAGATCCAACACGATTATTTTATGAATTTGAACTTTATTTCCATGTAATATATGATTCATTTTATGAAATATTTCTATTTTGAAAACAGCTTGTCAGAAAAATGATATAATAAAAAAGTTTTAGTATAAGCTTTTGCAATGAAAGCAATACAGGTCCATCTATAATGTAAAATATCTGCCATTTGGTGGGTTCTGTTGTCTTCATAATATAAATATATAGACTGAATAAGGTTATGAAACTACAATGTGGTGTAAGTAATATGACACTAATGTGTTGAAGGTCATCCCATCCCTACCCACAAGATCTCATATACAGGATGTCAACAGCTAGAGGCAAAAAAAGCCCAGAGAGTTGAGAAATTTAATGTAGGAGGAGGCTTACAAGGTAATAAGTGTGTCATTGCCCACAACAGAATAAACTAGCCATATGAGGTGTATAATCCAACTGGTCAAAGTGGAAGGAGATAAGTTACTAGATGAAAAGGAATCCCAAGAAAAGATATTGTTAATTTCCCTGAAAGATGGAACTGTGAGTAAGATAACAATATAGAGCCTATATAGAACAAAGGAAACAATCTGGGTTGTAATAATATTACAGGAAAGAGAGAGGTCGATTGAAGAATACATCCAATCACTCTCTCGGGCAGTTTTAGGGAGGAAGGAATAGTCAAGGAAAAAGATTAACTTGTCATAGTGATAAATAGTGCAAGAAGCATCCAAAAGAAAAATGTGAAAGCAATGATTACTGCAAGCAAGAAGGAGAAGGAAATATTTCTTAAACAGATTGAAGCACCATGGACACACACAGCTGTAGAGTCTAGGATTGGAGACCAAAAGACTGGAAACTAAGTATCAAGGAAAGTTGGAAATATAGTAATGATAGGACTTCCACAGTGGGAGCAAATTCATTGAAAACATCATAGATGGAGACACAAATCTGTGGGATAGACCAGTCTAGGCTTAACCTCTCAAAACAGAATAGACAACTAAACATGGTGATCATGACTCCAAATAAGGTCTAGAGCAAGGAAAATAGTGGTCCCAAGAGTTAGTATTTATTTCTCTCTTGGTGAATGGAAAAAAACAATAGAGGAGGTGTTTGAATAATTCAAGATGTTTGTTTGTCTTAGAGCAAAGCCACATTTGGCTGGCTGCTATGCCCATCACATGGAATTGAACCCCAGATTTCAGCATTGTATGTAAAGAGAAACAGATCATGATAAGAAGACCAGACAGAAAATGTTGGTAAACTTGCTGAGCAGTCAGGATTTTGAGGATCTAAATTTAGAGAAACACCTCCTATGGAGACCAGACTTTGGGAATGAATCAGGTGTATAGAACTGCACTCCACCCGAACACATGCATCAGTTGACAGGTTTGGTTTGTAGGTTTGTTTGTCATCAAGCAAAAAACTGCACAATGTATCATCTGTGCTATGCACACTTAAAGTATGATAACCCACATATGTGAGCATTATACACCCTCATAATTGCTCTTGGGCCTTGGGGGCTCCAAACAAATACAAGTCCTAGTGAGATGGGGAAGAGGAATTTCCAGGATTGTATTGGATCAAGTGAGACACCATAAGAACTAAAGTGGCATAAAAAGCAGTGGATCTGTGGAATATACTTAATTATTGGCCAGAATCCCCTGAAGGGGCCATGAATGAGCACATTCAAGAGGAACGAGAGACTTAGAAAGTTAAGGAGACATAAGAACCTTGGTACAAGAAGCTCCATGTCTTAAAGATGCAAAATAGTAGGCTGAACCTGACCCACATATGAACTGAGAAAGACCCCCAATTAAATGAGATATAGGGTGGGTGTTAAGACTGAATTGGAAAGCCAACCAGCCACCCCAACAACATGACTCCTGAAAGAGAAGAGAGGTCACAACAGTGAAAGCCATATTGGATGGGGCAAGGAGAGGTGAAATGTCCATATAACAGGTCTCAGGAATGTAGCCTCTGAGCAAAAGCCCATCACAGCCAATGGAAAATAAAGGAGGCCACAGACAACTCAAAGGAAAGTGCTATGAATCAAATGTTTGAACACCGTGAGCAAACCAAAGAAAGAAAAAGGAAAGCATACAAATCAGGTTGTGATGAAAGCATTTGAGACCTCAATCTGCATCGATCTACATCCTAAGAAAATACTCACCATAGAGTAAGAAAATTGTCCATCTTGAATTGAGGAAAAACTAATGTTGGTTCAAGTGAAACAAATCTATTACACAATGCTCATCTCCCAACTTTGTGTCATGAAACCAGTGGTGGTTAAGGAATTGTTCTATTGTAATCAGATGATATGGAGAATGGAAAGACATGGAATAATCCCTGAGAAAGCACCTGAGTAACCCCAGTAGTCTGCACCAAAAGGAGTCCATAGGTGTACAAAATAGAA